CTATGAAGTCTGTCACTGAAAGGGTACTGTCACTGAAAGATACTGTGTTTTCTTTATAAGATGACAGATTCTGTCCTTCTCACTATGTCAGTTATCCCACTACAATCACATTATTGTTACAAAGTAATTGAAAGATGAAGCATGAAAGAAATTTGTGTGTAGAGTCAGAGTTGTGTTGGGCCTTCCGCAGGCACAGTTGGTAAAAGATCGGAATTCCATGCTACGATTGACCAGCATTGGCTCTGATGAGGATGAAGAGACAGAAACTTATCAGGAGAAGGTGCACATGACTTGGACAAAAGACAAGTACATGGCATCCCGGGGGCAAAAGGCCAAGTCAATGGAAGGATTCCAGGACCTGCTTAACATGCGCCCGTAAGTTTTCCAACTCATAAGCTTATGACATAACATAATATCATAGTCAGTGCAACAGATGTGACTTTACCAGCATATTTATTTCACCCCAAATTTAGCCACCTCTCTGTTGTTTGCCTATGCATATCAGCTACCAATTAACATTATACACAAGCAAACCGTCACTCTTCTCTATATTGTGTTCCTGGTATAAAACAAGCAAATATAGAATGAAAAAACCCAAGATATTAATATTATAAGGAAATCATTTTGTTCATTACATTATTATACTCAAAGCAAAAAAGCTCTGTATATCAAGTTTTTTAAGGTTGTTGACTACATGCCTAGTTTTCTGTTTGCCTTAACCACCTTTCTTCCCCCTCCGTCCTGCCCCTTTCCCTCCCCAGGGACCAGTCCAATGTGAGGCGGATGCACACAGCAGTGAAACTCAATGAGGTTATAGTTAACAAGTCCCATGAAGCAAAGCTGGTTTTGTTGAATATGCCAGGGCCACCCCGAAACCCTGAGGGTGATGAAAACTGTATCCTTTCCAAGAGTGGAGCTACCAGTAAGGAAAATACTAGCTTGTTTTTTAGGTGAGACTACTAGGTAACTGTAAAAGTCATTGTCTCAAAAGTCATTGCCAAAATTTCCTTCTTGAGGAGGGAAGACTTTTAAAAGTCTTAGCCAAGGATTCTTACAAAGCAGTGAGATTAATCTTCTTTTACAGAGTTGGGAGTATAATATGTTCTCTCAGAACCCTAAAGGCTTTTTAGGTGGTATATTGTCAACATTACTTCTACTGTGTACAGAACCCTTTCCGACATTAGAGATGGAATACTCACGTCCTTTTTTCAGGCTCTATGCATTTGCAGAGCCTCTTTCTTTTGGATAGTGTGAGGGGAGAAGCAGTTGAAGTGGACCCTCCTCTGAAGGAAAAAAAAGAGAGATAAAGGTTCTTTCTCATACTCTGATCCCAGAAATTCTGTGGGACCGCTTCAGCACTGCAGTGGTGTTGACAGGCCCATTTCCACCAGTACCACTAAGGAAAAGAGATTTTTAAAAAAGCAAAAAAGAGATGGCAGTAAAATTCAACCTGAGCAGCTTCACTTAGAAATTACTTGGGTTCTCTCTAGGATTCTTAACAAGCTGCCATGTTGTGGCTTTTCCATTTTTTTTTCCTGGCTTATTTTGCTACATAATAACCCATTATTTGTGGGTTTTTCCTGTTTTAAAAAAAAAAAATTAGGAAAAAATCTACCATATGGGAAGATCTTTTTTTAAAGGTCTTTTTGGGAAAGTCTTTTTTTGTTGTTGTTAGAAAGTCTTTTAATTGTTAGAATTTGCCGTAGTCTTTTTATTATTATTTCTACCAGAACAATCAATTGTAGCAACCACTTGGTTTCCCAAAGACTTCCCCTCAATGAATATTCCACGCTAAGCAAAAATAAATGAAAATAAATATATATATACGTTGCTACTGTATGTCATGCACTACAACTATCAGTTATCAAGCCCTTTAAATGTAAGTGGACTAGATTCCCATCTTTGAAAGTGTTTCCCAGTACTGCTTCTGGTATAAAATTCTTTATCAGTCATGGCTGAGTAAGAAAAACAGAAACCACTCTAGAAGGGATTAAGTACCTACAAAACCTAATTAGGGATTTAGGGTCTCATAGAACCACTGGAAGTCTTATATATGCAAAGGGACTAGAGCCCTGGATTAATTCATAGGGTGAAATTGAATTACAAAGTATAGTCTTGTAATTCTGAATATGCAGTAATTAAAACAAGCATGTTGATATTATAGCTTTGTAATCAGATCAGCTCTGATTATGATATACCAGGGTGTAAAATGTGCTCTTTTGCTTATTTGTCTCCTTAACTAATTCTGAAGACATGGAGTTCCTCGAAGTGCTCACTGAGGGACTGGAGCGTGTCCTTCTTGTCCGAGGTGGTGGCAGTGAAGTGATCACCATTTATTCATAATCTACTCCTGAATGACTCTGCTTGGCTTCATCTCTCTTAAAAGGCTTCCGTCCTCCATGGAAGTGCCAGCTCTTTACTACCATGCCCACCAACTAGAGGCCTGTGTTCTATACACCTCACCTGAATGAACTCGACGAGCTGTACATCAAGATCTTGTGCAAAAAAGTAAAAATAGTTCTGCTCTTTGCTCCCATATGATCTGCTGTCCTTACAAAAGAATCAAATATTCCCTCAACATTAGAAAAATGGTCAAGTCCTAAAGCCATGTTGGTACCAGTTGAAGGCAAGTTAGAATTAACAAGCTAAACCAATAAAATGAATTGGTAGAAAGGGTACTAGAAATTCAACTGAAGACAAAAAGCAAGTAATAATCCAACATCAAAGATAAGTCTTAGAAGTCATGGTTCCTTGATAACACCATGAGAGTAACAGAGAAATACTAAGGGATTCATGGTCAATTATATGGAGACCTAACATCCTGGAGAAGATAACCTGTAGCAAGCCAAGATGAAAACTTTTTTGTGCTAATTGTTTTGAGTGTATCCACTGTTTCCAGGACTCTGATTTTGTATTAGGGTACTGATGTACAAAACTGAAACATGGCTACAGCTTCTACTACTTCCTCCAAAACAAGGTTTCCCCCCAAATACCAGGTTTAGGTACACATACTGGATTGTGTGTTTCAGCTGTTGGTTTCTCAAAGCCCTGTGGTTAAAATTGTAATACAGGCAGTGTTACCATGGGAATTGTTTTTAAACGGTGGAGTAAAAATTCCCTCTTTCAAATGGCCAAACTAAGGAAATTCTAAAGATAGCTATTAAGATTTACTGAAATATAATCTGGTTACCTGTGTGACATGGGCAAAACATACAAGCTGTTATCTAAGAAATATGGATGATGATGCATATTGACCAATAGGTTCACCTTTGCTTCTCCCTTTTATGCCCGCTGGGTTAGTAGGCACAGGTCAAAAATCATACGAACACGAAGACTAGCTAAAATTTTTCCCCAAACAGTGTCCATCTTTTAAAGGGGAAATCCAGCAATGGAATTAGAAGTTCCTGAGCCATACTCCTTCCATAGTGCCAAAGTTACTGAGATGCTGCTACTCTGCTTACCTGCTTCACTAAAGTGGCATACAGTTGGCATTGGCCTATTTCAAGAAACATTTTTCACTGAGAATCCTATGGACTCATTTCTAAAGCCATAGTGAAGACTTGAGGCACTCACCTAAATGCCCAGAGATGCACATTTCCCTTTCAATTTTATTCTTTATTCTGAGTGCAGAAACTTGGCTCTAAACCAAGATTGTCCAAGCCAATAGTCTTCTCCTCTTCAGTTTTGTTTTAGAAGCTTTAAGTGTGTTACAGAAATACATATGCAAGCTTAGCTTTTTATTTGCTAATTTACTGATCACAAAACACCTACCTGGCTTTCAAGCATAGGGAAATTACCCCATGTGACTAAGTGGTAATTTCAAATATATGAGGTCATTTCTTTTACAGGATAGGTTATTTAGAGAAACTATTTGTCTGTCTTTATGGCTGCTTTTGAATTTCACTTTATTGATCAATAGTGCCACTTTTTGATTACCTGATAGGATATGAAGCTTTTGATTACCCAAAAGGATACGGAACAAGCCGACCTAGGTGCCAGCAGACTGTTCATTTGACCCTTACGGACAGAGAAAACCTGTCAACGTGGCTTAAGCAATTGGAAATTAAGCATGTCCATTTGTTCCTTTTGCTTTTCCTTCAACCTCCAGGCCCAGTCAGAATAGCAAAGCAGACAGAATCTTGGCTTTTTTTCTGCTCCTTCCTGCAGTGGGTGGAAGCACTGTTTACAACTTTCATTGCAACACTCCATTGCCTAGTTGAGGATGGGTTCCCCAGGACCCAAAATATTAGATCCATGCTCTAAAGGTCAGCCTGTCTGGGAATTCCTCTACATTTACACAGACCTTCTTGCCTAGGCGGCATATATAAAATACACACACACACACACATATACACACATATATATTGCATATAGAAAAAATATGGGCAGAAGTTAGTTTTAAGTTTTTTGTGGTTGAAGCTCTATAAGAATCTTTTAAAGGGATAAGGGAATTAGTGGCTACTAATACAGCCACTACTTCAGCCGCTAAAACAAAATCACTGTTACGTGGGAAGATGGTTATTAGGCCAGATTTAAACTCATCTCTGTCTAGAGCATTTCATGTCTTTGTGTTGCTCATGTTGTTTGTCTGCAAAGTGTCTTGTCTCTTTTAATCACTGCAAATAAAGCAATACCGAAAAGATGCACCTTAGGGGAAGGGGTTTTGTGTTTCAAGAAGAGAAAAAAAACTTCCTCTGCCTTTTGAGTAAGATCCAGCTTTTAAGTCTTAGCTATGACTTTACCAGGGCAGGTTATGATAACATACATTTTCCAATTGCTGGCCCTCTGCCTTCTATAGCTATCTTAAAAGCTGAAGTTTGAACTGTAGCATCTGCTTGACAGGTACCAGGTTCCTCTTGGCAGGGGAAAGATGACCACTTTGTATTTTCCATTGCCTCAGATTCCTGTGGCCCCAACAATTCCTCCAATCCTCATTCCCCCTAAACGTGTTAAAAATCCATTATTGTGGATATTAAAGTAGCAATTACACTGTAAGCATATTTATCTGCTCTTTTTGTCTGGTTTATTTTTCATTTTATCATGTATAATCAGAATCCAGCATTAGTTTCTCACATCTTCTACAAGTGTCTCCAACAGAATATTTATGTCCCAGCTTGTATTAATTAGAAGTGAAATATTAAAGAAAATAGATTTAAGGGAAACATGTACAATTTTTTTAAAGTACTGTTCTTGACCATGTAATTTATTGAAAGGAGATGCTGCTGTGGTTCTTGATTTAGCAGCAACCATTCTTTTGTTTACATAGAGTTATGGTTTTATTCGTTGTTTTGCTCTATACTGGAAACATAAATAAAGTTTTCTACATTATTTTCAGTCAAGGGTTGTGGTAGCTTCTTTGTGTGTGTAGTGATAGTACATTCTTTCTATGGTGTCTCCCCACCATGGAGGAAATAGTGCTTTTGGTTCTTTTCAGCATGAGCGATCATGTTAAGGGTTGATATGCTGAGGAGGAGCCACTGGGCATAAAGAAGGTTGTATATGCGATCCAAATACATAGGTAACAGGTGCTTCGTTCTCAGGTTCACAAAAGCAATCCTCCGCCACTGAACTCCATCCTCTAAAACAAGAAAGTAAAATAGGTGAGCGGAATGAACAACGAAAGTATAGGGGACTGTTCCACTAGGTGTGGGAAATGTAGCCAAGCCCCTACTCGGAAAGGCCAGTGGGGAGAGAGGTCCAGCACACAGGACCCACACCCACGGATAGGTTCTCCCGTGGGGAATCAGGCCTGCATTGTACCTAGGCTGCTATGAGTCTTGCTTTTGCTAAAACTCCCTTCACCCTGGACTGAGACAGCAAATGTTTACTGCATATCTCTAAAGTAACTTCCTAAAGTCTGTGCTAAACCTCCCAAGTATGGAGTGTAACCAGTTCAACCACGTTTCCCCTTGATCTGTAACATCCTTCTCTTTGAAGTAATTAGCAATATCCTTTCCTTTGTTATCTGTAAAAGGTAATCACCTACAGTGAACCTGTGCATAATAAATGAGGACCATCCTCGATGTAATGTACCCAGAGAAGCAATAAAAGCCTGTCCAGGCAGGGGTCAGGGCCCTCTCTCTCACTTAGACAGCGGCGATGCTGTCCCTTTATCTCCACAGGACGTCTGTAGTCCGTGTGAATTTGTCTCTCGCAGCCACAACACAGATTTCATGGGCCGGAGTCTGCATCAGAAATAACTTCCTGAACCAAGTACTTAATACAATACTTTAATCACAAGTTATTTTATCCTTAAAAAATAACTTCCAGTCCTGACTGGTGTAGCTCAGTAGGTTGGGTGTTGTCCTGCAAACTGACAGGTCACATTTGATTCCCTTTCAGGGCACATGCCTGGGTTGCAGGCCAGGTCCCCTGCAGAGGGTGTGTGAGAGGCAACCAATTGATGTCTTTCTCTCATATCAATGTTTCCCTCTCCCCCTTCCTTCCCCTCTAAGAATAAATAAATACAATCTTTTAAAAAAATAACTTCTAAACTCCTAGTGGATGTTATTTCTTAAGAAATGAGCTTTCCCTGGCCGGTGTGACTCTGTTGGTTGGGTGTCATCCCACAAAGCGAAAGGTCACCAGTTTGATTCCCAGTCAGGGCACATGCCTGGGTTGCAGGCTGATCCCCAGTTGGGGTACATATGAGAGGCAATGGATCAATGTTTCTCTCCCTCACTTTCTCCCTCCCTTTCCCTTGCTCTAAAAATAAGTAAAGCTTTAAAAAAAAATGAGCTCTAATACCATCTCTAATCCACCATCAAATGGATCACCTATTTATTGTCCACTATAACTGGCCCCAAAGTTAACTCTTCTTTTGCCTTACCTCAGGGGGTTCAATGAAGGCTAACCAATCCGATGCATGTGTAGGCAACAATCCCATGGACTGGCACTTATAAACAGCCAATGCCAAACCCATGAGGTTCCCAATGAGATACACCAAACCCTGAAGGAACTTCTGGCTTGAACTCTCTAGCATCTTGAAAGCTGTTAGGGTAACAAAGTTTCAAGACCAAAATAACTTTTTAAAAAATTATAACACAGGCCACATATTAAAATAATATAAATAATATGCATAGGCACACAGTAAAATAGTAAATAGGACAATTAAAAGGACAAGAAAACATGATATGCCGCTTTCCTTCCAAGTCACCACCACTACCGTCACCACCCTGCACACCCTCCCCCTGCCACTAGCCAAGAGCCATGCCAAAGATTTCCAATATCAGTTTTGTCTAAGAATTTGCTCCTAGTTCTTCAAACTTTGGGAAGGGTTATTACTTCAAAAATACTTACTGGCTGAAATGGCCATAAGTGCCTGAATGGGTCGCCACGCCATCATACACACCATCATAGTAGGAAAGATGGAGATGGTATTGCCTGCCATGTACATGATGAAGAGGTTCATGGGAATTTGTTTGAGGGGACCCAAGGCAATGTCCCAGCAGCGCTAAAACAAAGACACAATTTTAACCTCTGATCACTACCCGCAGTCCCACATTTATTGTACCACTAATGTTATAGTCAAATGAACATAATTCTTAATTTGTGCTTCCGACTGAGCTGACACCTCAATTCTACCACTTCTGGCCTCAATGTTACCACAAGAAGTCTGCTATTCTACTAAAGATGAGTCATCCTTGTGGAGAAAGGGGAACGCTTTTGCACTGTTGGTGGGAATGCAGATTGGTGCAGCCACTATGGAAAGCACTATGGAGATACCTCAAAAAATTAAAAATGGAACTGTCTTATGACCCGATAATTCCACTTCTGGGAATTTATCTGAAGAAACCCTGAAACACTAACTTGAAAGAACACAAGTATCCCTATGTTAACTGCAGCATTATTTACAATTGCCAAGATTTGGAAGCAGCCTAAGTGTCCATCAGTAGATGAGTGGATACAACTGAGACATTTACTCAATGGAATACTACTCGAAGAAAATTTTACCCTTTGTGACAGTATGGAGAACATTATGCTAAGCAAAATAAGCCAGTCAGAGAAAGACAAATACCATATTACTCACTCATATGTGGAATCTAATGAATGAACTTAATTTAACAAGCAAAACAGACTCAGAGAGTGCAGGCTGACAGCTGGGGCAGACACAGAGGGATTGGGCAAAAAAGAAGGACTCATGGACACCAACAACAGTGTGGTGACTTTTGGGGGACAGTGGTGGGTGGAGACGGAAGAGGTTATAAGGGGGATAAATGGTAATGGAAAAAATGCAATAAAAAATAAAGATAAGGCACTCTGACTGTTATATTTTCCCCTATAGGTTCTTCACATGGCATTTCCCCCACAATTCTAGCTAAAGAAAGGCCTTCCCTGCTTATACTTCTGGATCTATCATTGTCCTATGTACAACTGAATAAATAGATAAATCTACACAGCAAGAGATAGCATACCTCAATCACTAATAGAATAGACAAATAAGAAATAGAAGATTTGAAAGACATTATTAACAAACTTAACCCAACTCACATATATAGAACATTGCACCCAACAGCTGAAGAATTCACGTCCTTCTCAAACACACATGGGGAAAACTGACCACTTGCTGAGCCATGAATGAAGTGTCAGTAACATAGGACAATGATAGATCCAGAAGTATAAGCAGGGAAGGCCTTTCTTTAACTAGAATTGTGGGGGAAATGCCATGTGAAGAACCTATAGGGGAAAATATAACAGTCAGAGTGCCTTATCTTTATTTTTTATTGCATTTTTTCCATTACCATTTATCCCCCTTATAACCTCTGCCGCCTCCACCCACCACTGTCCCCCAAAAGTCACCACACTGTTGTTGGTGTCCATGAGTCCTTCAAAGAACTCAAATTATGTAAAGCATGTTCTTTGGTTACCATTCAATTACACTGGAAATAACAAAAAATTAACCAGAAAATCCCTTCTGACTTGGAATTAACAAATGCATTCTAAATAATTCATGAACCAGATTATAATGGAAAATACAAGTATTTTTAACTGATCAAAATGTGTTAACACTTGTGAGACACATCTAGAACTTTGTAACCTTAAATATATATTAGAAGACTAAAAATAAAGTAAGCATCTATTTCAATAAGTTAGAACAAATTAAACCCAAGGAAATCAGAAGGAAATAAAAATGAGAGCAGTAATTAGTAAAGTTGTCTTTAAGTAAAAAAAGCCAAAGGGGTTTTTTTTGTTTGTTTCTTTTTTTAAGATTAATAACATCAATAGTGGTGAACCCAATGAAGGAAAAAGAATGGAAGATAAATGTTCGACATCAGGAATGAAAAACGGGACATCTCTATAGGTTTTATAGATATATTAAAGTGACTGTATTATGAATTTTAGGAAATGGTTCAACTACTAGCAAAAATACAGTTTACCTAAATGGCATAAGAAATTGAAAATATAAATAGTCCTCTGTTTAAAAAACTGAATCTGTAATTAAGCCCAGATAGTTTTTCTTGGCAAATTCTAAACATTTAAGGAAAAAAATAGAGCCAATCTTACACAAACTCAGAGAATAAAAATGAACACTCTACAACTCAACAACTCTTTATATGGGGCCTCATAAATAGCAAAACCTGAGAAGGATATTATGAGAAAAGTTTATAGACCACTGTCAGACATGAACCTAAAAGCAAAAATCCTGAACAAAATATTATCAAAGCAAATCTAGTTATAAAAAAATAATACACCACTATACACTTGAATTTACTCACATGAAAAGAATAAATAGTCATACTTATACATAGTTCTCTAATGTGTTGGTCACATATAAGATCATTTGTCTGGAACTTTAAACATCATATTGTCCATACAACAGAACTATTCTAAAGGAAGTACTTTATGATAATCTACCTTTAAAAATCAGGCCATTTTAATAATACTTTTATCATGTATTTTGTTGCAATTTGATACCAAGATAAAAAATGATACTTATCAAGGAAAAAAATGGTAACATTTCATATTGTGAAAATCACTTGAATGTCATGAAACAAAGATCATTTAGTATTGAACAGTAATAGTAAGGATGAGGGGAAAGAAAGTGCAGGCACTGTTCTAGGCACTTGGGAGACAAAATCATGTTCTCGTGGAGCTTACAAGAATGAAAAAATAGGTAGTAAAATAAGTAAACTACATCATATATATGAGTGCCATGGAGAACCATAAAGTGGGAAAACAGGATAGGGCATGCCATGAGGGTAGGCTTCATTTGAAGGTAACATTTGAGGTGAGAGAGAAAATCATAAAGGTAGCTGGGGGAAGAGTACTCCAGGAAAAGGGAAGAAAAAATACAAAAATCCTGAGATGGGAGTTTGCCTGGCATATTTAAGGACTAGCAAGGAGGCCAATCTGACTGGACTGCAGTGAACAAAGGGGAAGGTGGTAGGAGATGACGTCAAAGATGTTACAAGGGGCTTGACCAATGTATAATCATGTAGAACATTTATAAAGACTTTGGCTTTTACACTAAGTAAAATGAGCTACAGAAGGGTTTTGAGTATAAATGATCTAACTCGTTTTAAAAGGATCCTACTGTCACCCTGTACAGTGTGGCTCAGTTGGCTGGAGCATCATCCCATAAACTGAGGGGTCAAGGGTTCAATTCCCAGTCAGGGCACATGCCTAGGTAGCAGGTTCGCTACTGGTCAGGGTGTGTACAAGAGGCAACCGATCGGTGTTTCTCTTTCACATCAATGTGTCTCTCCCACTCTCTCTCACTCCCTTCCCCTCTCTCCAAAATTAATACGCATGTCCTCAGGTGAGAATTTAAAAAAAAATAAAGGATCATACTGGCTGCTGTGCTGGGAATAGACTACAGGGGTAAGGTGGAAGTATTTTGAGACCAGTTAGAAGTCTAATACAGAGAGGGACACAAGGAATCCTTTAGAAGTAAATGTTCTCTTTTCAAGATTGTGGTGGTTTCATGATGCTGCACTATTACTAAACCTCATTAGATTGTACTGTTTAAAAATTAACGAAGGGCAATTTGCCTCCCTAAAGACATTTGGTAATGTTGGAGACATCTTTATTTCAACTGGGGAGGGGCACTTGTGGCATCTAATAGATAGAGACCAAGGATGTTGCTAAACATCCTACAATGCACAGTATAGCCCCCACAATGAACAATTAATTATTCAACCCAAAATGTCAATAGTGCTGAGGTTGAGAAACCATAATTTAAATAAATGTAGTTTATTGTACATAAACTATAATTCAAAAGAGTTTATTTTTTAGTCTGTTGTAGACATTTGGGTGAAGGATGGTGGTGGCTTAAACCAAGAGGATAGATGAAGGTAATGAGTAGTAAGATTTTGAATCTATTTTTAATGTTAAGCCAACACAATATACTCACAGACTGATTGTGTCGAGTAAGGAAATTAGAGTAGAAAAGGATGACTTCAACTGGAAGGCACTGCCATCAATATATAATTTTCAACCTCCTTTCTTATACCTTATGTTCCAAATGTCTTTTCTTTCTCCAATTATTAAGCACTTTCGCTGCTGATATGTAAACTACTGTAACACTTATCTCAAGCAGTTGGAATACCAAATATTCAGGATAAGGGGCATCTGTAGTAAGATATTCACATAATGTCTGGGGCAGAAGAGTGGGGTGTGTAGATCAGAGCCACCCCAGAGACTACGGTGACATCTATACCTCTGTACCTTCTCCACCAGGATCCGGTCTGTCTCTTGCACGCTGGTATCAGGCACTTGCTTATCCAAGTAACCGACTGGGTACAGCGAGTCTCCCTGGCCACCGCCCCGGTCACTTCGGCCCCTAAAGAACCAAACCAAGAACCAAGGTTGCAGACTCTCACACATCATATCCTACATTCCCTGTTCTACTCACAGGAGTGAAGACTTTCAATTGCACCTCTACCCTGATTAAAGCAAGCCCTCCTGTGGTTTGGTCAGGCCCCTGCCTATTGGGAAGATAGCAATAAACATCCTTTGGCCACAAAAACCTCCACGGCAGAGAAGCCGCTAGCTCCCCAGGGGTCGTCTTTCTGCCACCGGTCCTACCAGGTTCCAAGCCCGTGGGGAAAAGGTTACTAACCTGCTGCCTCCTCCAGGCGCGCTCAGCTCAATGGCCCACTTGAAACGTCGGCCTCGGTTGGCCACCAGGCTGCCCTGAGCCGTCATGGCAAAGGATTCCTACCAAAACACGTAAGGTCCTTAATCTAAGGCGTAGCGGAGCCTCAGGTCCACCGGCGTCCGCAACAACTGGACCGCAGTCCGCAAGTCCACTTCCGGCGCGTGAGTGTATACGCCACTTCCGGAAACTGGAGGTCGGGGCAGTGGGGGTGGGGCGCGTGGAGGTGCCGAGGGTGACTTGTGAGAAAATCTGGCAGATTTTAAATCTTCCTAAAGCGGCTACGGCGCGCTCCCTCCTTTCTGTAAAGACCTGTTGTGTGTCCCTGACCTCTGAGATGCACTCTACCGGACAGAGGGGCGGTCCGTGCTGGCTTTGCTTTAGGAGTTGATGCCTAGAAAAGCTGCAGTTCCTACACTCTTCCGAGAATTACGAGATTTCAGTCTCGCCGCAGATTGTGTGACCTTGAGTTATTTAGTAGCTTCTGAGTGTTGAATGTCTACTGTGTTCCAGGAGCTTTGTATTTATTATTTCTCACAGTAACCCTGCAAGATAGATAGTTGTATCCCAGATCTGCACAAAAGCTAGGGGGCAGTGTGGACATGGAAAGGTTCGTGGGCTCGAGATTCGGGTGGCCTCCTTTTGAATCCTGGATTCAGTGCTTAATTGTTTTACCTTGGGCAAGTTAAATTGTTTATGTTTCAAAACTCTTCAAACGTAAAATGTGGATAATGTACCTACTTTAAAAGTTTGTTGTTAGGTTACGTGGTGTGGTTGCCACCTACACATGATGTATTTTTTTAATGTCATTAAATAATCTACAACATTATTCGTATTGATTGGGTTTTGTATTCAGTTGTACACCTATGTCATAATTGAATGTTTAAGTTGTTTTTCTGTTTTCTGATTTCCTTAAGTTAAATTACTAGAACTGCAATTCCTAGATCCGAGTGTGCACATTTTAAGGGAATTTTCATTTAAAATGCCTGCTGGGAAAATTGCACCAATTTACATTATACCAGGTATAAAATTATAAAAACAATGTAATTGCCAGTTTGAAAATGGTACCATATTATTTTTAAATTTGTATTACTTTGACCTCCACATCATTTGATACAGCTGGGGTGGGCAAGGGGGGAGGAATGCTGTGACAGTGGCTGGGAGGTTAAGGTTGAAAAGAGCTTCTTTGGCCAGCTAAAGAGTTTGGACCCTTCAAGATGATGGTGATATGGAGACACTGAAGATTACCACTCCCACTTTGTTTTCTGATTTTAGAAATATTGTGTTGGCCAAAAAGTCTGTTTAGTCTTTTCCATGAAATAAAAGACACATTTTTCATTTTCACCAATAACTATTGATTTGGGTATTTTGAATATGTCACCTATCTCCTGCTATTGGCTTCTCATGGGTAGAGGCCAGGGGTAATGCTAAACATCTTCCAATGCATAAGACAGCCCCACAGCAAAGAATAATTTGGCCAAAATGTCAACAGTACCAAGAAACTTCCCAAACTGCTTTTGACACGTTCAGCCAATCACAACACCATCTCCATACACTGCACAGATCCTTTTTTGTGTTTCAGTTGCGTTTTTACCTTTCTTGAAACAATAAAGCATAATATGCCAAAAATGTTGCATCACTTCTTCCATCTTCAATATTAAAATGGCTGCACAAAAATTCACCAATTTTGGTAAGTTTTTTTAAGTGCACACTGATATGACAGCTGTCACAATACAGTCTAACAATATTGTTTTGAATGAAGTTAAAGACAACTAGCACAACTAGAGCCATCGTATGGAAAAAACTAGAGGAAATTTTTGGCCAACCCAATATTATATGTTCATAGAGGACTGCGTGAACAAGGCAAGTAAGAAAAAGATTTTTCATCTTCCAGTCACTTCTTTAACATATGCATGCCTATCTGATGGTAAAAAGACCCAGCTTGTAGATTGCTTTTCTTCTTTTTACTTTTCTGCCTTGATTGCATAGTCTCTAATGAACCTTTGAGATTCATCTGAAGTTTCACATAGGCCTTGGCCCTTAGCCTTTCCTCTGTCCAACTGTTTTCTGCACAATAGCACCCACAGCATTGCATTGTTTGTTGACATCCTCTGAGCACTTATCTCTACCACCTCCACACCCTACCCTAAATTCCTTGAGGGTAGAAACTACATGTTAATTATCTTTGATTCCACAGGCTATACCTTGCATATATAAAGTACTGATAAATGTTTAGTGAGTGTGAGCAAATTAATTGAAAGTGAGTATACTATAAGTATATTATGTAAAATAAAACATAAAAAATTAGAAGGGAGGGAATATATAAAAATGTTACATATTCTGGTAATGACTTTCATGCAATTATGTTTAATTTTCAAGCTATTTGTCTGATTTTCATGCAGTTTTGTCTGATTTTAAAACATTGTTAGTCATTTGAATCCTATGTTCCTTTCCTCTTTTAAAATTGATTTTTAGAAACAGGAAAGGAGAGAGAGAGAGAGACATCGATTTGCTCCACTTATTTATGCATTCATTGGTTGATTCTTGTATGTGCCCTGACTGACCATTGAACCTACAACCTTGGCATATGGGGATGACACTTTAACCAACAGAGTTAAAGTGTCAGGTGGCCAGGGCTGTATTCCTTCCCTTTTAAAGTACTTCCCTACCTCTTAAAAAGAAAATGTAACCATACCTGAATCAAAGTTGCTTTGGCCTCAACAGAGTATTCTAGTCTTGTATTCCTTTATCCTGGGAGTCCTCATAAAGTTATTTGCTAAAACGTATTCCAGAGAACATGAGATGCTGGGACAGAGCTGAGGAAGAGTTCCAAGGTCAAATACTGCACATTGCATTCTGCACATATAGCCCAGATATTCTCAGTGTTATTAATATAATATTAAAATCACAAGAAATGATTCAGTAGAATCATTAAATTATCTTCTTTAATTTTGCTTCCCAATTACTTAAATAAGAACCCTCCCCCCTCTCTTCTTATCACATCTGTTAATGTCCAATGGAATCAAGATTTCATAGAACACTTGCTATATGCTACAATCCAGAAGAAACATGAAGGGACTCTATAAAATTCTGCTTTTTAAAAAATTACAAGAATATCATTAGGAATAATCCTTATGGAAATGGAGTTTTAACTTGGAATTAAACTTTTGAGGATTCCAGTTTTGTACAAATTTTGTTGTGCAAGAAAAATGACAAGAAACCTAGATTCTAATCCTGACTCCAAATGAACTACCTGAGTCACTTTGGGTTTGGACTCTCTTGGGCTTAATTTCTTCATCTGTAAAATGAGGGACTTGTATTAACTACATGACTTCTAAGGCTACCTTCTAGTTCTAAAATGTATACCTTTACACATTTTGCATATTATTTCGTATACATTCATAGAAAAAAGACTCAGCCCTGGCTGGTGTAGCTCCGTGGATTGAGCCCCCGCGGTGAAACAAAGGGTCACCAGTTCGGTTCTCAATCAGGGCACATGCCTGGTTTGTGGGCCAGGCCTCCAGTGTGGGGCGTGCGAAAGGCAACCCCACACTGATGTTTCTCTTCTTCTCTTTCTCCTTCTCTTCCCCTCTCTTTAAAAAGAAAAATAAATACAATCTTTTAAAAAAATAAAATGTTAAAAAAAATAACAAATATACCAATTAAAAAAAAAGACTCAAACACATAGAGGAGTAATGAGATTTCAGATTACTTTTTTTGTTTTTTAAAGATTTTATTTATTTCTTTTTAGAGAGGGGGAAGGAAGGGAGGGAAACATTGATCAGTTGCTTCCTGTACAGGACCCCACTGGGGATCAAACTCGCTATACAGGCGTGTGCCCCAGCTGGGAATTGAACCCACAATAATTTGGTCCATGGGACGATGCTCCAACCAACTGAGCCACACCTTCCAGGACAGGTACCAATTTTAGTTTTAGAAAAAATATAAATTTTTATGTTTTTATTTTTTTATTTATTGATTGAGAGAGAGACATCAATTTGCTGTTCCGCTTATTTGGGCATTCATTAGTTGATCTTGTGTGTGCCCTGACTAAGGGTCGAGCCCACAACTTGGCACATGGGGATGATGTTCTAATCAACTGAGCTACCTGGTCAGGGCTAAATGTTTTTTCAATTTTACCATGTGTGGTGATGGATGTTAACTAAATTTCTTGTGGTAAATATATGTACAGGGTGGGGCAAAAGTAGGTTTACAATTATAAATATGCAAAACACAGTTTATTGTTGTATTATTATTTCTTAATTACTGTATCATTTTCCAGTATTATGAACAACTGTAAACCTACTTTTGCCCCACCCTGTATATAGCAGTTACGTGTCAAATCATTAAGTTGTACACCTAAAACTAATTCAATATTATATGCCAATTATATCTTGGCATATAATTTAAAAAGAAATAAAAATATATTTTTTGTCATTGGTTAATAACCTAAGTTTCAGGTGTACAACGTTTTAATTCAGTATCCATACACACTATAGTGTGCTCATCACCCAAAATCAGGTTTCCATCTGTCACCATACAATGGCCCCCTTTACCCATTTCACCATCTCTTCACCCCAGTTATAACATGACATGATTCTAAACCTAGAAGTTTAATGGTTCGCCATCCTGGATTCACAGGAGACTCACCTTGGGAACTCTTAAAAAGTACTGATGCCTGGGCCACACTTACAGTGATTCTAATTACTTGCATAAGGTGAAACATGGGCATCAGGATTGTTTTTATAGCTCTCTAGGTGATGCTACTGTGCAGCAAGAACTGAGAACCACTGACCAGAGCATTTTGTTGCTTTAAAAATAACAAGGTTTGAATTTACACAAAGTAATTTAAGCAAACAATCACTTTTTGAGATCCTCCTGTATGCCTCCCAGTGTATTAAACTTGAATTAGAAAATAATGCAAATACTGAAGTTGTGAAAATAAATGTTAAAGTTGACTTACTTTGTGCCTTTGAACAAATATTTTAATTAAAGAAATTGTGAGAAGGCACATCAAGATTCTGTAGATCTTAACAATTGTCTTGTTTGACTTTTATAATTTCTGCCACCTGCACAGTTTTTGTAATTGTTTTCATATCTCACCCCTCCCTCAAACACACACACACCTCTTTTTAGGAGTCATAGAAGCTGACTAG